TGGTGACAGCACGCACAAATCCTATGCAAGCTCTAGTGAATGAACCCACACTGGAAAACATTTGGGGATTCAAGTTAGATGCTGCAGACTTTATTATCCAGACAGAATACATTGAATTGAGTGGGTAGGGGGGTGTAGGGAGGTATGGATAGGCAAGGGGACATAAATATCATCAAATCATATTGTATGGAAATGACAAAAATTACATAAAAATTGTTTTATTTAAAAAAAAAGGTAGATGATAAAGTTGAAGAACTAGACCATATGAGCAAAAATCAATGATATTGAGCAGATTTTCAACAGGATTATAGAAGAAAACTTCCCCTAGTTAAGGAAAAAAACGTACCTATACAGATACAAGAAGCACATAGAACACCAATTACTCACGACCAGAACAGAAACTGTCTCCAGCATATCATAATAAAAACACTAAATGTACAGAACAAAGAGAGGGTAATGAAAGCTGCTAAAGAAAAACAAGTTAAATGCAACAAAAAACGCACCAACATTACCAGAATCACAGCTGACTTTTCAGTGCAAACAATGAAAGCCAGAAGAGCCTGGACCAAAGTGGTTTTGGTTATAAATGACAACAGATGCCAACCCAGAATACTTTACCCTGAAAAATTACCTATCATAATTAAAGGGGAAACAAAAATTTTCTGCAGCACAAATAGGCTCAAAGAATTCATGTCAACCAAACCAGCCCTACAGAGAATACCAAAAGCAATACAAAGGACTAAAGATAGCAATGAATAAACTAAGAAGTTACAGAAAGAAAACAAACGAAGGTATAATTATTGAAACACAAAATAGGACCAAGAACAAAAATAAAAATGACTAAGAAACACCCTAAAAAGTAACCAATATCCTTTGTAGTTAGGGAAATGCAAATCAAAACCACTTTAAGATTTCATTTTAACCTAGTCAGACTGGTTAAGACGAAGAAAACAAATGATACCAAATGCTAGCAAGGATGTGGAGAAAGGGGAACGCTCATTCATTCCTGATGGGATTGCAAACTTAGGCAAACCCTATGGAAAGCAGTGTAGAGAACTCTCAAAAAACTAAAAATGAATCTACCATATAAACCAGTTATACCATTCCTTGGCATATTCCAAAAGGTCTCATACTACTGTACAGCTTGTACATCCGTGTTTATTGCTGCTCTTTTCACAACTGCTAAGCAATGGAAACAACCTAAATGTCCTTCAACTGACAAATGGAGTTCTACTCATTATTACATAGGAGAAGGAGGAGACAGGAAAGAAAATATTCCCTGAAAGCAACAGATAAACAGAATAAAGTACATCCTACACAACAAACCAGCAAATATTCAACACTACCAGAAAAAGAAGAAAAAAACTACCAATTAATCAACCAACTAATACAACAAACAACAAAATTATAAAACCCTTCTGAATTACACCTTGAAGCAAATGATCTTAGCTTAATAACTAAAAGACACAAAACTAATGTACCAGATTAAAAACACAATCCAGCTATCTCCTATCTCTGAGAAACTCATAGAAGAAAGATGCTTCTAAGACAACAGTCAAAAGCAAAAAAAAAAAAAACTATGAAGGAAATGGAAACTTCAAATTACTATAGCCACTCTCATAGCTGATAAAGTAGACTTCAAAACTAGTCAGAAGAGATAAAGCATATCACTAAATACTAACAAAATAAGTAATTCATCAAAAAGACATAATTATTGCAAATACAAATGCACTAAATCTTAGGGTCCTCAATTTCATAAAACAAGCACAACAATAATAGCAGACTTCACTATCCTACTAGCATATGTGGATATATCTTTTAAATTAAAAATTAGCAAAGAATCGTCAGAGCTGAGTTAAAACTTACATTGTATGTCACAAAGAATACCTTAATAAGCACAAAAAACTATGAGTACTTTTGATTTGCCAGAGGACTTGGGTTCAGTTCCCAACACCCACATGATAGTTAACACTGGTCCTTAATTCCAGTTCCAGGGGGTCCAATTACCTCTTCTCACCTCCATGGGCACTGCATACATATGGTACACTTACAGGCAAAATACCCAGTCAGTTAAACAATGTATAGGACTTTTTTTTCATTCTCTCATATTTACACTCAAAAATTCATTAAAAATTCCTAGAAAGTATCAACTTTAAGGAGTATTTTATAACATACAGTACATATTAATTAGTTTTCTATTCACAGAAATTTAGAAAACAAATGCAGAAAAGCAAGCGACTTATGTTCTCCCTCATTTACGGACTGTAGCACCAATCCCTTATATGCGACTATATAAATTTTGATGTAACACCAGGAGCAAGGGAAAGGGAAAGGATACATGGCCGTAAAGGGAAAGAAACAACCTGAAAGAGGGACAGTAGGGAGCAGATGTTACCTGAGGGAGTTGGAAAAACTGGGCGTAATCATCAGGGAGGAGAGGAGGGAGGGACAGGCAAGAGACCATGGAGAGGGAGAGGGACTGAAGTTAGGAGAGGAAAAATGACAGGAGTTGGGAGGTATTGGGGGGAGGGTGGGGGCAATGGGGGCACTGTGGCTAGGGAGGGAGGAAGGAGGGAAGTGGGATGGGGAAAAAATAGTGGAGATGAGTGAATCTCAGGGGGCTAGGAAACCTACAGGGAAAACTGATGCCCTAGATAGCCTATGAGAGTGTCTGAACATTAATGCATATGTATACCTGGGAGCTGTTTGACAGGAAGTGCAGTTCCAGATAGAAGAGACCTCCCTTAGAGTGACAAGCATGCCATATAGCACTCATCAAAGAAGCTTCTTTCTGCATCAGATGGAGGCTATTGCAGTTGTACATCTGGTCCTGCACAGAGAACATACGCCTGGGAGATGCCCAGTACTAGGTGACACATCTGCAATCGAATCTCTAAAACTAAGGCCCATGGAACATAGCAGAATAAGGGGTAGAGAGAAGGCTAATGCACCTCTCAACTCTCACCAGTGAGGCTCTTTTGTACATCAAGTGTGATGCACATGGAAAGTTGCATCTTGCCAACTTTTGGAGAATAAAATACTGTAAAGTGTAAGATGGGACTCCTATATGGAACCTCAGCCACCCACGGCTCAGGGACCATTGCAGAAGAGAAGGTGGAAAGATTGTAGAGCCAGGACTGGTTCATGATTACAGGGAGATGGAGGCTTCCAGGCCACCGGAGGCTTGCTCATGTGAACCTGTGGCAGTAGTGGCATTGAATGTGGGGCCAATGTCAGCTCAATGAAACAAGGGCCCAAAGGGCAGGCAAAAAAACAGGTAGTGGGTCAGCACTAGATTAATAACTATTTGAGACTGATTGCTGCTGGGTAAGGGAGACTATGATTTGCATACGACTGCTGGACAGGCTGACTAGACTCCAGTGGACGCATATACACTGAAGGACACTTGGGTATAAACACCTGAATGGATAGGACTTAGCATGTATGGCAGAGTGCATAGGGTTCAGTGGGGGGATAGGGGAAGGCATGGATGGGGGAAGGAAATCTGGATTTGAGTGGGAAATACTGTATGAAATTTAAAAAGCTCAATAAAAAAACCAATGACTAATATTGTGGGAGAGACAAAATAGTGAAGAAGTCACATACACAAAAAAAAGACATGTGAGATTAAAGTAGGGACTGCAATGCAGTATGTACTAGCTAGGAGGCCACGGCCTTCCAGCAGCAACCAAAAGCTAGGAGACACAGGACATGGTCCAGAAGGAATCAATTCTGCCAGTATCTTGTCTGTATGCATCCAAATTCCAAACTGTGAAGGAATTAAGATGCTGTTGTTTTAAGGTACTAACAAATTGTGGTATTTTTGTACGGACAGACCTAGAGAAACAACTCAGTTTTCAATCATAGTTTAAATCAATCTCCATACATGGTTTGAAATGTTACATCAGCTGCTGGAAGGGACAGAGACAGTCTCTTTAAGTATGAAACTATTGGTAGGTAAACCAGGTTGTAGTGGATAGACCCACACTCGAGAACATTTGGGGACACAAATTGGACTATACAGTCCTGACTGTATATATCATAGAGTACATTTAAATTGGCCAAGGGGAAATAAGAGGAGGTGGGTATAGAGGAGGAGATGTAAATACCATCACATTATACTGTATAAACTCACAAAAATTCAACTAAATAGAAAAAAAAATAATAAAGCAGTTTAAAAAAAGTGTTGAGAAGGCAGGGAAGGAGAACAAAGGTCATATGTGACATCAAAGAGGAAGGGTGGGTAGTGGAGGTGGGAAGGTGCAGGGAGGGGGTAAAAACAACAAAAGCAAATTTTGTCTGAAAAACGTTGAAAGGATACATAATTCTTTGTAAGGTAATTAAAAATTTGTTAATCCCCTCCCTTCCCCAAAGTTGCATCACTGGCTTTCCATCAACTGAAATGTCTCATCACTATTTTATTTTTTGAAAGCACAATGAACATTACCTTGCTTACGTATTGCTACTACAATAATAATTAGTTATAGCCCCCAATATATTTTTTATACTTAGTCATAATACACGATCTGTAAAAGTAAAACAGAATGTTGAATTTGTTAATTATTCATTTCACCTAATATGGTGCCATATACATTTCTCATTTGATGAAATAAAGTGGCTATAATTTTTTGTTGTATGTTAAGCCAGTCTTATAACATGGTTTAGAATACTAACAGTTATTTCAAGATCTCCACAGTGCTTCCGTTTCAAATTTAACTGCAGTCGTACCCACATTCTCATTCTCTTCTGTTTTAAAATAACTAAGTGTGAACAGACACAAAATCTAGTTGGAAACAATATTCAAAACAGTAAGAATCACAAAAAAAAAATCCATATGTCAAAGCACCACTAAATTTTGTAGGACAGATGTGTTGAGAAATAAAAGAAGCTCATTATATTATGTTTATATTACATATTATAGTTTCTTTATATGCAGCTGTATAATTTTCATGACCTTAAAAATAAACAATATATCACAAAAGATGTTAGTAAACACATACCTGAGTTCGCAAAATTTCACTTTTTGACAACTGCATATCACCAGTCAATTCTTTTACAGTGATGCCCAGTGGGTCTAGACGTTTGCTGAAGTAATTAGTCATTTCAGCTGCCAAGGCTTTCATTGGAGCAACATACACAATCTGTATCAAAGGAACACCAGCATGCAGAATGAGCAAAAGCTACAAAGACATTTGTTTCATAGTAGGCAATACAAGTCACAACTTATTATGAAATATGATTTTGCTACTTCCTGTAAAATATGTTAATAATGATATCTGGAAAGTACTTATCTTTGCTGGGTGTGTCAGTATTTAAAGGACAACAGAATATGCTTACACCACCTCATCACTCTGAAAACAGATTCTCTTTCAAAGTGTATTTTCATAACTTTTCAAAAGGGTAATAGGATTTTCACAACAAAAAGAGGGACTGCCTTAATAGTACTGAAATAAATCAAGCACCATTGTTCTTTATGCGACTTGTACAATAAATATCTCTAAGAACTTCATCCCTGCCGGTCTTGGACCCAAGTGAGTTACAATTCCTTCACCTCAGATTCCTGGACTAGCTTCCTAACCCAGACTAGCTCAACTCCCTAGCATAGACTCCACAAGCTCCTTATCTGTCTGACACAGATCAGAACAGCCCTCCTACTAACCTGACCAGCCTACCTACTACCCTGTCCTACCATCCACCCAGTCGACTACCCTGCAAGAACATGAAACACCAAACAATTTATCTTCTATACCTGAAAAAAAAGTAACCAAGCTACATAAATACTATTAGCAGAAACAAAATTAAATTAAACAAAAGCAGAGTAGAAGCTCCTGTTGGACACATAACCAACAAAGAACATCCATATGCCCAAACAGCAATGCAAAAACACAAACAATGTGAAAAACCAAGAGAATATGTGCACAACAAAACCCACAAATCTCTAAAGAAAGAGATAGAGGAAGATATTAGGAGATGGAAAGATAAGTTGATAGAATCAATATTGTGAAAATGACCATCTTCCCAAAAGCAATTTATAGATTCAATGCAATCCCAATCAAAGTACACATGACATTCTTCACAGACCTTAAAAAAATCATTCTAAAATTCATATTGAATCACAAAAGACCCTGAATAGCCAAAGAAATCTCGGGCAAAAGGACCAACACTGGGGAGATCACCATACCAGATCTTGGATTATATTACAGAGCCATAGTCATAAAAACTGCATGGTAATGGCACAAAAATAGACATACAGATCAATGGAACATAATAGAAAACCCAAATATGAGTACATGCAATTTCAGCCACCTGATATTTGATAAAGATGCTAAGATCCCACAATGGAGGAAAGACAGCATCTTCAACAAATGGTGCTGGCAAACTGGATTCTTACCTGCAGAAGAATGAAATTGGACCCTTATCTTTCATCCTGTACAAAAGTCAACTCCAATTAGATCACAGACCTCAATATAAAACATGAAACTCTGAACCTGCTAGAAGAAAACATAGGCAATGTCCTATAAGATATATGTATAGGAAAGGATTTTCTAAATTGGACAGCAGCTGCTCAGGCACTAAGGTCAACAATCAGTAAATGGGACCTCATTAAAATACAAAGCTTCTGTACAACAAAAGAAACAAACAAGGAAGGAAAGAGGGAACACAATGAGTGAGAGAAAATCTTTACCAACTATACATCTGACAGAGGATTAATATCCAGGATATACAAAGAACTCAATAAATAACCCTATAAAAAGATGGGCAATAGACCTGAACAGAGTTCTCAAATGAAGAACTAAAAATGGCTAAGCACCTTAAAAAGTGCTCAACATTCTTAGTAACTAGAGAAATGCAGATAAAAACCACTTTAAGATTCTACCTTACCCCAGTCAGACATCCTAAGATCAAGAGAATGAAAGACTCCAAATACTGGAGAGGATGTGGAGAAGGAGGATCGCTCATTCATTCATTCACTGCTGTTGGGAATGCAAACTCCTGCAACCATTATGGAAGGCAGTGTGGAGAAACCTCAAAAACTAAAAATGAACCTACCATATGATCCAGTTATACATCTTTTTGGCATATGTGGAGAAAGGGGAATGCTCATTCACTGCTGATGGGAATGCAAACTTGTGCACATGGAAAGCAGTGTTGAGAACTCTTAAAAAGGTAAAAATGAACCTACAATATGATCCAGTGATACCACTCCTTGGCAAATACCCAAACGACTCATCCTACTGTAAGAATACCTGTACATCCATGTTCGATGCTACTCTCTTCATAATAGCTAAGAAATGGAAACAACCTAAATGTCTCTCAACTGATTAATCGTTAATGAAAATGTGGTCCATCTATTAAATGGAATTCTATTTGGCAGTAAGAAAAGATGAAATTTCCGGGTATGCTTGCACACTCCTTTAGTCCCAACAATGGGAAGGCAGAGTCAGGAGGATTTCTGTGAGTTCAAAGCAAGCCTGGTCTACATAGTGATTTCCAGGCCAGTTAGGGCTATAGGGCAACTCTGCCTCAAAAATACCAAAGAGAGAGAGAGAGAGAGAGAGAGAGAGAGAGAGAGAAAGAAAAAAGAAAGAAAAAAAAGGATGAAATGAAATTTGCACATAAATGGATGGAGCTAGACAGTGTTATACTAAATGAAGTAATACAAATGCAGGAAAGCAAGCAATGGATGTTCTCCCTCATTTGCAAATTGTAGTACCAATCCCTTAGTATATAAATTCTGATGTAACAGCAGGAGCCAGGAAAAGGGAAAGGATACATGGAGGTAAACAAAAAGAAACAACCTGAAAGGGGGATAGCAGGGAACAGATATTTCCAGGGTGGGGAGGTGGGGAAAGTGTGAGTGTTTGGCTTTGGCAGGGAGGAAAAGAGGGAGGGACATGCAAGGGGCCATGGTGTGTGTGTGGCGGGGAGTCAGGAGAGGGAGGATGGTGGAAGGCAGGTGTAATTGGAGGGAGGGTGGGGATAATGGGGGTGCTGGGACTAGGAGGGAGGAAGAAGGCTGGACAGGAGAAAAAGGAGTAGAGATGAATAAATCCTGGATCTTGGGGTGGGGGGGAAGTCTAGGGAACCCAGAGGGAAATGTGATGCCCCTGAAACCCCATGAGAAATGCATATACAGTATCTGAACACTAGTGCATATGTATACCTGGGAGCTGTTTGGGAAGTAACAAGTGACAGACAGAAGAGACCTCCCATTGATTGGTTGGTAAGGGTCATCCAGGAGACGCCCAAAATAATACAGGCTTTGGCCAAATCTCTTTGTTATCTCCCAGAACTAGTAGATAAGACTCAACTGCTGAAGAAAGGACATATTTCAGATACAGCAGGAACTGACCTGGAAGCCTAACCAAAGTTTGGCTATCATTATGCTGGATGATGATATGCAAACTGTCAAGGGAGAAAAACAATCAATGGTCCAACCCGGTCCTAAGGCCTAATAACCATAAAGATTAGCATGACAACCTATCCCTTTTGGTGCAGTGGTGGCACTATAATCTGGGGAGCAATCAACAACAAACTGGAATTAAAACTCTCTCAACAGGAGGGAACTCATAGGTGCCCTGTAAACTTAGCCGAATACAAATGGCAGGAGGGGACACAGATCCTAGAGAAAACCCTATCTCTTTCATATCTCTAGACAAAATTCCTTACTATATGCTAAATATAGATCCTTACATTTACAGACAAGCATACCATAGACCACTCGTCAAAAAACCTTTGTTTTGTAATAGATGAAGGCTACTGAAGAATCCCACAATTGGTCAGACACAGAGAACATACTTCTGAGAGGTGCCCAGTCCTAGGTGACATAACTACAGAGGAACCTCTACATCTAAGACTCATGGAACATAGCAGAATAGAGGGTAGACAGAAAATTTGTGCATCCATCAACTCCCACCAGTAAAGCTTCCTTATACAACAGAGTGTGATGTACACAGAAGACCACAACTGGCCAAGTTTTAAAGAATAAGACTGTAGAGTGTAGGATAGGATTCCTATATGGAGTCTCATTCACCCATGCCTCAGGGACCACTGCAGAAGTGAGGGCATAAAGATTTTAAGAGCCCTGGTTCATGAACACAGGGAAGCAGAGGCTTCCAGGCCACTGGAATCTTGCACATGTGAACTTGTGGCAATGGTGGTATCGAGCACAGGACCCATGTCATCTCAATTAAACAAGGGCAGAAAGTGGAGGAGAGAAATAGGTGGTGGGCCAGCACTAGACTGAGAACTATTGGAGACTGATTGCTGCTTGGTGAAGGAGAATATGCCTTACATACAATCCCTAGATGGGCCAAGCAGACTCCAGTGGATGAATTTACATTGAAGGACATTTGGGTACAAATGCCTGAATGGATAGGACTTGACATGCATGAGGTCTGGTGGGGAGATAGGGGAGGCATGGATAGGGAATGGGGTCTAAATCTGATTAAAAGCTGTTATATGAAATTACAAAACTCAATAAAAAAAATTAAATTTAAAAAAAGAACTTCTAGATTTCATAGAATTGACAGCCTATTTTGACTTCCATACCTTAAAAAAATATTGTCTGTTCTGTAATTAGCCTACCTTAAATTCATTCTTTTTAATAATACCCTGTTGAAAGTGCTGGCGGATTTCATGTAAGACTGTGAGCATTGCAATGTTGGTCTTCCCAGCTCCAGTAGGGGCACAAATCAGCATGTTTTCATTGGTATTGTAGGCAGTCTCAAATACAATTGACTGGATTCTATTGAGTCTCTTCATTCCTTTAAAAGCCAGCTGTCCAATCTAAATGGGGGGGAGAGAACATGCTTCGTTATAAATAATATAGATGGATCCTACAAAACACTGAATATAAACATTAAATTTCTCTGGTTAAAAACAAAGACTTTCAAAAATTTCTACCTCAGCCTCACACATGCTGGAGTAAGCATGCACCACAATGCCTAGATCATTTCCAGTATGTCCTGTATTTAAACTAAAGGGTATGTAATTAAGAAAGAACTCTAAGTACTATTCAATCTAATGCATGTGGAAACTGCAACTCACTAATATGAAAACATAATTCTATATTTACATATATATACAATCTTCTGTATAATATATACGGTTACATGAATATGCATTGTTATCTACCGAATAAACTGAATAAAGTTACAAATTTTTTAAATCCTCCAAAAGTTTATAAATTACTCCACACCCCATATTCTGCATCACGCTAACTAATCTGCATTTACTTTTAAAATTGTGAATTAGGAAACATATGAAGCTAGGCATGGTGGCATACTTCTTTAATTCCAGCACTCAGGAGGCAGAAGCTGGTGGACCTCTATGAGATCAAGGTCAACCTGGTCTACATAGTGAGTTCCAGGCCAGCCGGGGCTACAGGGAGACCCTGTCTCAAAAAACCCAAAAGAAACATATAAAAAAAATTTACTTATGAGCTTATTGATAAAAATAAAAGTATATTCAGCTACTAAATGCATAACAGTATTAAAAAAACATCACTGGAGCACTCAGCATACTTTATAAACCACTAAAATAAAATTAAAGTGAAGTTATGATAGATGTCTCCCTTCCTCTCTATCACCCCATCTATCTATTTTTCTTGCTTTCTTGCTCCTCTCCCCACCCAGTCCACATTCCAATCTATCAATGATAGGGATAGAATCCAGGACATTCTGCATGCCTGGCAAATACTCTGCCATTGGGCTATATCCTTAGCCTTTGGAAGTTTCTTGTTTTGTTTTTTGTTTTTTACCTCAAAATCTCAATCCTGCTGGAGTCCTGGGATTACAGTAGGTAGGTTTTACTTTTGTTACTTTGGCTGTTTCTCTTGGTTAGCTTTGGGCTTGCTTTTTTTTTTTTTTTTGAAAAAAGGGCTCTTGGAGCCCAGATTGGCAATGAACTGCTGAATCCTGCCTCTATCTCCCATGGTCTGGGATTACAGGCATGAACACCATACTAAGCAAGATTTTCTTTTTTTTCAGTCTTTAATAATATTCAAATTACAGTCCCAAATTTGTTGATCTTAGAAAGCAAAAGTTTAAATAAAAAGCATAATTATATCAAAAATCAACTTTTTACTCAGCTTTAAAATTACATAGTAATATTTCATTGTTTTAAATTCCATACATGGGGGCTGGAGCGATGGCTAAGCAGATAAGAACACTGACTGTTCTTGCAGAAGACCTGGATTCAAATCCTGGCACCCACATGGCAACTAACAACTGTCCATAACTCCAGTTCCAGGAGATATGACTATCTCTTCTGTCCTCTGCAGGCACGACACGGGTGCACTTACCTACACGCAATACACTCATACACATAAAATAATAAATAAAATCTTAAAAATAAATAAATAGCTGGGCATGGTGGTACACACCTTTAGTCCCAGCACTCTGGAGGCAGAGGGAGGCGGATCTCTGTGAGTTCGAGGCCAGCCTGGTCTCCATAGCAAATCAGGCCAGCTGTAGCTACAGGGAGACCCTGTCTCAAAAAGACCCCCCCAAAATAAAATAAATAAAATTCCATATATATAATAATGTCTAAATGTAGCTAACAATAGATACTTCCAAGTATGTCCTATTTTTATAACTTAAAGAATACATATGATTTTATACATTAATAAATAAAACTAAACTGAAATTATATTTTCTGAGTACATTAGCATTTGCTTTCTAAGAGAAAACTGAGTGCCTCATGGCTCATTTTTCTTAACTGCTTCCCTTTTAGCTTTGATAGTGAGTCTAAATACAAAACACTTTCCTTTTTAATTGATTTTAACTATTAAGCACTTTTAATACACATAATAATCAACACTCCAGAAATATGCTCAATGTGAAAAGTTTCATGCTAAGTCCATATTGGATTCACCAGACAAGGAGTCTTAGAGAAATAAGACAACTCTTTTATGCAATCTTCAAAAAATGTATGCCTTGATTATTCCTTTATTAAGTAATGGCCGTTCAGGCCAATCTCAAGTACACATTCTTTTTTTCCTTTTTTTTTTTTTTCCTTTGGTCTTTTTGAGACAGGGTCTCCCTGTAGCCCCAGATGTCCCAGAACTCACTATGTAGACCAGGTTGGCCTTGAACTCACAGAGATCTGTCTGCCTCTGCCTCCCAAGTGCTGGGATTAAAGGCATGCGCCACCACGCCCGGCACACATGCTATTTTTAAAAAGTAACTTGGATGGTATTATTTTCTAGAAGACTAATTTGGAAGCATACCCATTTGCTATTTATAGTATTTTTTTACTGATAAATTATTTTTTGTCAGTTACTTTGCCAGTTAATGATTAGCACTAATTAGGTATCTAAAAAAACAGGTATGCTGTCCATTCCACGCTAACACATGTATCATAAGCCTTACTTTAAAATATTAAAACAGTACATATTAAAATTTTAGAAAGTTTATAAAAATTATATATGCTAAGGTCATTTACATTATGTAATTTTCATAGTTTATGTTGTCCGTGGCTCTGTGCAGCATTAGCTTAGGCTCAAAATTTCAGAATAAAAGGTAATAAACAACTCAGTACATTCAGTATGAGCTTAATGTGCTGGAAATGTTCAATAGCTCTTAATAGTCCTCACAGACCAGGCTCTATGCCACAACCAGTTAGAGTCATAAAATTAAAGTTAAAACAAGGATGAGGAGTGTGGCTCAGAATATATACTTTGTAGGCTTAAGGTCCTGGGTTGAATCCTCAGTATAAAAAAAAAAAAAACCAAAATTAAAACAATTCACATGAATAACAACATACTTGAATATTTACTAGATAATTGTATTTACGGATAACTGTTCATTTAGGAGTCTTCTTTTAAAAGTTAAGCAATTTCACTTAAAAGTCTTAGCATACTTCACATACATCACTAATAAAATAGTAAAACAGATGATTATGGTCATCACTAATAAAAACATTTTAAAGAAAACTAGCCAAATGGTCAAAATTACAGAAAAAGTCTCTGTTGTCATGCAACTTACATTCTAGTAAGAAGCGAGTTGTTCTCTAATGAAATAACTAAATTATTTAAAATGGTCATATAATTACAATTTAATGGACGCCATAGTTGAGAGGAACAGGATGGAAAGTCACTTTACATTTCTAAAAAGAAGCCCCAAGAAAAGGTTATAAGTTGAGAATAAAATGGGGGAAGAATATAAGCCACAAAAAAACACTTGTAAACATAGAGATTTTTAGGCAGAAAATTACCTAGTTCTAGATTATTACATCAGAACAAAGTTCACCTATTCAAGGAATTATACAGAGGCCAGAGATGGCTGTTTAGTAGATTCTTCTAGAAAGAACGCCATCTAAGCTTTTCAGTTGTTTTTCTTTTGGGATAGGGTCTCACTATGTAGCCCAGGCTGACCTAGAACTGACAAACCTTATGTCAAAAGTTATGGTGGTTAATAACCATGTGTAAATCCAGTTCCAGCGGATTTGATGCCCTCTTCTGACCTACTGGGGCATCACATGACAGGGGTGCAGTTACATACATTCAGGCAATACACTCATACAAGTAAAATAAAAATAATAAATAACATATTATAAGTGACATATTGAAAACCCAGGGGGCATATTCATCTGAATAAAAGAACAATTTTCCCATAACATTCACTTATCAGAACCATTTATAATGACTCCAAGAATTCATTTACTATACGTACCAAATCAAAAATATAATATAAATGAAATCAATGTGTCTACATGTCAAAACTTAAGCTTAATATCATTGTTATGCATGTCCAGAAGAGAAATTTTTAAAAATCTATTTTAGTTGGTGACTTCAAATTTTCCTTATATTTTAAATATGTAATTTAAGAAAATAAATATATGTCATACAATATGGCTATAGTAGAACATTTTCCATAGAGAACAAGCTCTAAACCATTTTGAAGTTTTTGTATATGGTGAAAATATGACCAAGATTGTTTTTGATGTTTGATTTCTATAGGTAGATAAACTGTTCAAGAATCATTCATCGAAAAAGTTTCTCCAATAAATTACTTTTGCATCTTTATTAAAAGAAATCAACTGCGTGGTCACTGTCAGTAGCAGCCGCTCCTCCATTCTCACGGGTGCCACTCCTTCGTTCTCCCTGGGCGTCAAGGCCACTCCTCTGCTCACCCTGGGCTGAGGCTGCTCTTCTGCCTGCCCGGTGCTGAGGACGCTCTTCTGCTTGCCTGGTGCCGCCTTCTGTCATCGCTTCTGCCCTGTCCCGGACCCCAGGGCTGGTGAGGAGACTGTGTCAGTGGAGCCACATTCAGACACAGGAGACCAGGTTCAGTGACACAGGTCTGCTTTATTGCAGGAAGGCACAAGCTTATATAGGGGTAGTGGTCCAGTCACAGCACAGCAAGTGGGATACCTTATTAGCTAAGACTTAACATCCTATCACAGAATAGCCGGTAGGATGCCTCATTAGCATGCTGGGTTTCAGATTACAAAGCCTGGATTCCTGGAAACCACATGACCCTTACTGTTGCAATATCTAAGTGTTGCAATTTGGATTCCAAGGGTGGTGATTAGGGAGTGGCAAGCTCTAGGCATCAGTCTCATGATCTGTTAATGGGAGCAAATGTCACAAGGCGTTTCTTGTGGCTCCAGTGGCCCAGCCATTGCCTCAGGTCTGCTGTATGGCTGTCATTAAGACTGTCACCCTAGGCTCAAGCCAGTCTCCCACACAACTGGACATATATCTGTGAATATTCTGTCATTTGTGGCCTACATAAAAATTTAGGATCATGTGTTGCTTTTAAATAGAAAGCTTTTTATTTTTAATTGGAATTACATTGAATTTATAGATCTATTAGGAGTCTAAACCTTATTATCAAACTTTGTAACCTTTGACATTTATGTTTTCCACACTTAGGTAAGCATTATTTGATTTCTTTGCGGGGGGGCGATTTTTTGAAACAGAGTCTCCCTGAAGCCCCAGGTGGCCTTATTCTCAGAGACCTGCCTACCTCTGCCTCTTGAGTGCTGAGATTAAAGGTATGCATCACTACATCTGACTTCTTCAATTTTCAATACATCAATCTTATATCTTTAGTAAACTCAGACTTATTAAGGCTACTGCTGATAAAACTGTGAGCTTTCTTAGCAGTTATATCATCCAGATAAAGAATTTGGTTTTTGAGTGAGTACATGTGAGTATACTACCCATGGTGGTCAGAAGAAGGTGTCAGATCCCCTGCTCAAGCAAACATGATGGAGTTCTTGATTGAGAGAAGTGTTCTCTCTCCATACTGGGCAGAGAGGAAAGCTTTCACTTCTCATTGCTACTGCAGGCATTTTTATACACAGGAGATGCAATATTCACCTCAGCTGGAAATGGTTTGCCTTCTAGCTGTTCTCTGGGGCACTATGTTTATAATGTCATAGTCTTTTGCTGTTCTCCTTCCTTGTCAGTGTCAGGGGGCCAGTCTCAGAGAAAGTGCAGGAAGTCCCAGAGCTTACTTAAGATAAACATGCTCACGTCTGAGACAAGGGGTGTGTCTTGTTCTCAGAATTCACCGTCAATGAGCAACACATGACAATTTGACAATAATTTATACTATAGAGTTAAATGTTATAGATGACAATAAAGGACTGAAGAGCAGGTCCAGCAGTTAAGAATACTGACTGCTCTTGCAGAGGGCCCAGGTTCAGTTCCCAGTACCCACATGGCAGCTAACGACCATTCGTAATTGCAGTTCCAGGGGATCCAATACCCTCTTCTGACCTCCATGGGCATTGCACAACACAGGTTTATTTCATACATGTTGGTAATACACTCAGACATATAAAATAAAAATGAATAAAGTTATAAAAATAGTAAAGAAAATGCTAATGACCAAGCTCAAGGCAAAATTGTCTTACATAAGCTAAAGTATAATCAATTTTTTAAGTTCACAAAATAGACTTCAATAAAACGAAGACACTTGTGGTGCTACAGAAACAATCTGCAAATTTTAAATTATATCATAGAAAGGAGAAAATATGCCAAAACACATCTGAAAATAGACTGTATTCCAAATAATAAGAAAACTACTCAGTTAAAAACTAGACAAATTATTCAGAAAGAAACTCCACTAGGAGAGAGAGGTGTGGTGGCACATGCCTTTAATCCAAGCACTCAGGAGGCAGAGGTAGGCAGATCTCTGTGAAACTGAGGCCAGTCAGGTCTACATAGTGAATTCTAGGCCAGTTGGGACTACAGAGTTACTCTGTCTTGAAAATGAGTAGGATGGGGGAGAGGACAGGCATCATCAAAGATGGGTCATGGTAGCTCATGCCTTTAATTCCAGCATTTGGGAGGTAGATTTCTGAGAGTTCAAACACCCTGGTCCACATTGAGAGTTCAACTCCAAAAAGGGCTACAAAGTGAGATCCTGTCTAAAACAAACAAGCAAATGACAACAACAAAAAGCTATACCAAAAAAGAAAGACAAATAACACATGAAAAGATGCTCAAAATTGTAGGTCATAATTAAAGTCACAATGAGATATTACTGTAGACCTAAGCAGGTTAAAGTTTAAAAGCAACATAAAGTGTTGACAAGAATGTGGAATAAATGGGATATTCAGATTGCTGGTGTAATTAAATAATGCTCCACTAATCTTAAAAAGCAGTTTGCTAGTTTCTTATAAGAATAAATATAAAACCGTAACTTACCAAAATCCTATTCTAAATTTTTTACCAAAGGGAAACAAAAATCTACGTTAAAACAAAAATCTATGCAAGAATGTGTATGTAAGTTTAATTCATGCTCAGCACAAAGTATCAACAAGTTAAAAATCTTTCACATGGAGAAATCATGAACCAAATTCTTTAACTGTTACAGGACCTCTAGGGAAAGTAATTAGGGCTACATGAGTCATAAAGGTATCCTAATCTGATAGGGTTGGTGTCCTTATTAGAAGAGGAAGAGGTATTTGGGATCTCTTTCATTGCGAGCAAAGAAAAAAGGCTGTATGAGAACATAGGGAAAATGCTGAACATAAAGGTCTACAAGCCAGGAGAAATTCTCATCAAAAAGAACCTGCCAGCACCACATGGATCCACAGTTTACATCCTCTGAAGTTCAAAAACAAAGAATCTGTGGTCATGCCACCTGGTCTATGATATTTTGTTGTAAAAAAAATATACAATATACACAGTTAATATAATTTAGAATAGGACTAACCTGTAGACAAAACAGGTATCCTTCAATAGGTGACTAAGTAAACAGTGGTTTTCCACATCACATATAGAAGGCAGAAAAATGACCCCAAAATATATCCATCTACTATGAAGGACTCTGTGCTACATTAGTGCCTGGCAAAGATTGTGTAAACTACTTCTATTATTCACATAAAAGTGAACATAATATTTGTTTAGAAATAAGTATGACAGAAAATAAAGAACCCTGATTCATTCATTATTATAGATAATAGTCAATAGTACTTTTATATGAAAAAATAATGTACAAAATAAAACTAAATTTCAGAGATATTGCTGATTGGTAAGGTTTAAAAGTTAGTAGTATAATTATTTGACTCTATAGGCTCTCAGTGAAGACTGTCTTTCAGAATTATCTACATAGCTTCAAAATATTGGTATGTGTGCTCTTCCCTAGGGATAAGGACTTAATGAACAGCCAAGCTACTGGCATATAGGAAATTTTTAAAGGTGATTCTGATACATAGGATAAAAACCATGGAAACACAAGAAAGTAAGAATTTTGTTCTATTATAAAACTTTACTATAGAAAACAACTTAAAATTGCAATCATTAAAAAACTGATTTTAAAGTAATATAGGCATAAAATGGAGTAACATATCATGATTAAAAGAAATGATACTGCAGAAATATGACCACTGACACAGAAAGCACATGTGTATTATGTAATTTCATTAAACATATAGAAGTATGTGGCTGAAGAGATTGCTCAGAAATTAAGAGCACTGTCTACTATTGCAGAGGACCTGGATTTGGTTCTCAGCACCCACATGGCAGCTAACAACTATCCTGAACTCGAGTTCCAGGGGATACGATTGCCTTTTCTGACCTACATAGGCACTGCACTTACATCCATGCAGGCAATACACTCATACACCTAAAATTAAATAATAAATAAAATATTTAAATATATATGTATGAATGGATTTTGGCTATTCTGTGGGTATACTTTATGTTGTTCCTTTGACTTGTCTGTATTATTTGATATTTCTGAACGACTACATTATATATATGTTAAAATAAGCAACTACATTTTGATAATGGAAAAGATTAATAAGTATATTTGCTTCAAAATAGAGCAAATATGATATATGGCTACTACTACTTTCAGATAAATTTGAACTCACTCAAAAATTGTCGGAAAACAAAGTTTCTTAGAATGTTCTCCCCTCCACTAAGAATATTACTTTTTTATAAGCTGACCATTTGATATATCAATATAACAAATAAATCCTTTAAAATATTTTTATTTAAGTCAGATTTTATAGGTTAATCCAAAGGAAAATCAACTGAGGGGTTGAGATGACTCATCAGTAAAGAGCTTTCTGCACAAGATAAGAACTTGAGTTTGGATACCCAGAACCCACAAAAAAAATTCTGGCACAGCAGGTACACATCCAGCCCTGGGGAAGTGAGGACAAGAGGATCCCTAGAGCTCACTGGGCAGCCAGCCTTTCTAAATTGATGAGTTCTAGGTTCAGGAAAAGATCCTACCTCAAAAAATACGGTGGACAGAAAGACAAGACACTTGACATCCAATGTTGATCTCTATAGGTTTTGTGCATATGCATGTGCACACACTTACACACATGAACACATACATACATGCAAAAATCAGCTGAAATGACCAAAATAAACATTAAATAAAGACATATAGTACAAAAACATGCGCACATGTGTTTAATGCAGGAACGAATGTACACACACATTTTTTACCACTTAATCTCCACTGATGTACTTCTTTAGTAATTAGTATTTTATGTTTGCAACTGTTTCAAAGTAATTTTTCCAACACAAGTTGACTCATAACACATACTCAAAAAGAATATGTTTTACAAACAGCTACTCTCACCTCATCTAAGTCTTGGATATAAACTGGCTTCTCCTCAAAGCCAATAGGCATTGGTTCACTGTAGGGAATTCTCACTTCTTCGTAAAGCTTGGTATTCTCTCTTTGGATTCCTTCTGGTAAAATCATCTATAAGCATTAAAAATAAAATTCCAGTAATAAAAAATAAAACCAACTGCTCTGGTAAAGATTTTCAAATTAAAGATAAAGACCAAAAGGCTACTGGTTTTATAACAGAACTGGCAAAAATATTCAGTTACTTTAATGGAAAGCCCCCCCCCAAAAAAAACAAAAAAACTCCACAAAAATAAGATAAAACACATCCATAAAACATATAGGAACCAGGCATCTCATATAATATACAGACTATTGTACGTTGATGAAATTAAAATATCCATTAGTTACATGGCATTCCTTAGGACAAGTGGACCCTCATAACTAGGAAAATGTGTAATATATAGTGTAAAGTTTAGTCAGTCAGTGACACAACAGAGAAAGCTCAAAAATACAAAATGACACAACAATTTAAGAAAGTTAACATGTCCTAAATACCATGTATATTTCAGGAACTTAAGATACACTGCAAGCTCTTTTTTTACCCACTATTTTAACATATAATTTAGCATATAAATCAACTAGTACCATATTTAAAGATATAATAAAGAAAATGATGCTGCCACTTCCTCAGAATGAGCTTATTTCCAAAAATGGATACAGTATAATGACATACCTTGGTACCTGCAATGAATGCTGATGTTTCCCTGGCTTCAGCCTGGGAATCATAAACATGGGGATAACGGATTTTTTCAACCTCCATGTCTCTCTGTCTGCCCAGAATTGGAACACTTCTAGCATTCAGAAGTGCTTGTTCTCTGAAAATATAAAAACAATAGGCAGGATTTGACATTATTTATTAATTTTTTTGGCCTTTTTGAGACAGGGTCTCCCTGTAGCCCCAGTTGTCCAGGAACTCACTATGTAGACCAGGCTGGCCTCGAACTCACAGAGATCTGCCTGCCTCTGCCTCCCAAGTGCTGGGATTAAAGACGTGCACCACCAAATTACATTTTAAATGAAATTCTATCTTAAATCAAGGTTATTATAATTATCTCAGGGAGCCCCCACCATTATAAAATTCAAAAACTTAAAACTACAAAAGGGAGATATTAACAATCTAGAAGTCTGAGGGCAATTAAATAGGATTACGCCGGGCATGGTGGCACATGCCTTTAATTCCAGCACTTGGGAGGCAGAGGCAGGCGAATCTCTGTGAGTTCAAGGCCAGCCTGGTCTACACAGTGAGTTCCAGGACAGCTGGGGCTACAGGGAGACCCTGTCTCAAAAAGACCAAAAATAGATAGATAGATAGATAGATAGATAGATAGATAGATAGATAGATAGATAGATAAACGAATAAATAGGATTTCAGTACTTTTCCAGATGCTATTTTTAGATAATGTGAGTATGACTTAGTATTTTTTAATAATTTTGTTTTCTGACAAATACAAAGGTATTTAAGAAGATATAACTTTTACACGGTTTATTTAAATAAACAAGTGTAAAAATCACTTTCATCTTTTCTACTTCTAAACAACACGGAAAAAATATCATTAAATTAGGAAAAGAAAACATCTCAAAACAGATCTATATAATTTATATAAATTATACAAATATAGACCCTTTCCTGCTGTGGCTGCCTAAGATTGCCCCACTAGCTACAGTCTCCTGAGTAGGCTAGATCCTGCCCACTGGGTCACCATCCCGCTGTATTAGGACCAGCCCCATTTGTACAACTCCAGGGCTTACATCTACCCTGCTTAGCTAGTTAGAAAGGGCCCACCCCCTCCTCATTGGCCATCCTTGGGCCTAGTTCCCTTCCTGCTATATCTACCAGAGAACAGAGATCACTAGACTAGTTACAGTCTCTTGAGTCAGCCAGACCCCACCCACTGGGTCACTAGCCCCCTGATTGGGACCAGCCACATTCATGAAAATTTGAACCAAGCAAAAACCCAGAATGGAGGGGTGGGGAAGGTGGATTGGTATGAAGCCCCAACCTCAGCTGAGAAACTACTGGCAAATGATGACTACTGGGAGAGGGAGAGTTGGTTTTCTTTAAAGGAGTGATGCTAGATAGGTTGACCTGGCTCCAGCGGATGGAACAATACTAAAGGGACATTTGGGGACACAAATTTGGCTCAATAGGCCTTAATATATATGACAGAATACATGAAAACTGGTCGGGGGGTTGGGGGTACAGACTGGGGAAGGAGTCTAAATATATTCAAGATGTATGATAGGAAATTTTCAAAAAATAATCAATAAAAAAGAAAAAATTACAAATTTTAAAAAGTAGTCTTCAAGTATGATGAAAAGCCCTCTGCCTCCTTGGACTGTCTCAGGGTAATTATAATTATTTGGAGTATCAGGAAATGACTGACTGTTGGCTTTCAAAATGACTAAAGTTTTAATTCCAAAATAAATACTTTTAGTTATTGAGAAAAATTAAATTGTACAAAATAGGCTTTATGTAATTTAACTGAAATGTGTACATATAGTACCATAAATTAGCAAACCTTGTAAGTGAAATCTCTCACCTATGTGGATACAATCAAGATTATTCTAATTAAAGTCAGTTGCTTTTTTAATTTCAGAAAACAAGGATTCCACAGAACAAAAATCTATTCTTACAGTAAGATCTCCTAAAATTATTAAAAAATTACAGAATAATCTATGTAAATTTGTAACACCTACTTTTTTTTTAGCATCTGGTTTTTATTACCTATTTATCCGCAGCTCCTTAGGGTCAAAGGACATAAGTCCTTCTCCAGAAACATCCCCATCTTCTCCAGCCTTTTTCTCTCGTCTAGCAATTCTTTTTTCTTCACGGCGATATTGTTTCATTAACTGCTTTTCTTGTTCAGACTGAATAGTGACTTGACAACCATAATTGGGCTTAGCATTCTCTCCTAAAATTTTTTTACAATTGTCTGTGAAGCAAATTTTAAAAAGTAATGAATTATAAATCTCAGACATGATTTAACCTTTAGGGAAATCTTTTGCCCTGTGAAAACACACATTCCAATTCTCTTAAGAGTTCACTTTTTAACGCTACTTTATTCAATTACATATTTTAAGAGTAGCTGTTTTTGTTTTTGTTTATGTATATAAGTAAATTGCTGGCACCTGTGTTGTGCAATACGCACAGAGGTCAAAAGAGGGCATCGGTTTCCTGGAACTGGAGTTACAATGGTTGTTAGCTACCATGTGTGTGCTGGGATCCAGCCTGGGTCTTTTGCAAGAGCAGCCAGTGCTCTTAACTGCTGAACCATCTGTCTTTCCCTTAAGGATAGTTTTTTAAAAACATTATTATGTAAATAATATTATATAATGGCTTAAGGAAAGTCAGCAAAGTTTTCTTCTTACAGATTCATTACTTTGATGAGATCATAAAATTTTAAATATATCATTAATGTAAAAATTCAATTTTATAATTTTGAAATAATTTGTTAATATGATTTCAAATACATAATTATCAATATGAATTGCCATTTACTGTTAGTATATTAAATAAAAAAACTATAAACTAAATACAACTTTCCTCTAAGTAATAAGCCTCACTGTATTAAGTTGTATATATGTCACTGCTTTTTTATACAAAATAAAATTTATTAACATTAGTTCAGAATATTTACAGACAATGACCAAAACAAATAAAGCAACATCGCTGTCCATCTTTTCATGGAAATGCAGTGGAAATACCAATCAAAACCCATTATTTACAAAGTAGAAGTTAGGTCTACAGAATAGTCAATTCAACATTGGAGATAACCATTCTTCCAAAAAGACTGTCCTTTGTGTTTATTTAAATCTTTCCAAGTACTAGGATCTTTGCACTTGAGAGTCTTAATGGAGCCAAAGAGTATCACTAAAGGGAATCAAAGTCAGTAAGATTTATAGTATGGAGGACCTAGCACAGCTAGGTTACAGAGACAATGGATATTGAGACTTGGTCCATATTCTGAACAAAGCACAGGTACAAGCTATTTTATCAAATGTCAAGATCTAAAAAACAGACAGGGAAGGTATTAAGCATAGCATCAAGATGGAAAAATCTGATTTCAAATTCATTCTTAGCCAAATGTGGAAAATTCCCAGAATGCCTCCTTACATGACTTTGAGTAAGTCATTTAACCCTCAATCATATGAAATAAACCCCTATAGTTTGGCTTTATCAGCCTTAAAATGAAAGTATATTTCAATATTATAAAATAAGGTAGAATTCCATCTATATCAGGATGAAATTTTATAGTTTAACCAAACATTTTTCTAATTCTTATATACCTGACTTTCTAAGTAAGCCCTACATATAATTATTATAATAAATGAATTTATAATTACTTTTCACAAAGTTAGAAAAAGAATGAATATTTTGAAAGCTTCCACAAAGTACTCTGAATTTAAAAAGTGAAACTGCAAAATCACAGTTAGTAGCACAGATATGAAGTATAATGTTTCAAACGTGAATAATGGCATTTACTTACCAGAGATGCGTTAAACATTTTCAAGTGTGAAACTGAAAATGCTTTCAATGACATACTAAATGCTATGTACTAGCATAACTAACATTTTATGCAAAGGTGACAGTAACAAATTACTGTTAAACACACTTATTATCATCCAAATAAGGAAACTAAAATTACAGTAGTATGTCTACATCACTGAAAAATGTATAAGGTGTCAATTAGAATATACTAGAAATCTGTAACACTGAACATAATAAACAATAATTTCAATTTTTAAAAGAATTATTATAAATGCTGAAATATATCACTTTACATTTTTGGTTCTACTACTTCTAAAGACCAACAAACAGAAAGAAAATAAATTAACAGTAACTTTAACATAAAATTTTATGGAAGAATAAAGTAGAAGCTTATATTTTTATAGAACACAGTTATGTCAGAAAAGAATCTTGCATAATCTTCATATTAGTGTCACTTGACAGCATACACTGTCAAGCAGAACGTAATTTGTATTTTATAGTGCTCTATACCATTCTCCACATCAGCCCTAAAGATAGAATTTAATCCACAACTATCTTCAATGCAGAGGTCCCTGCCACGTCTCACTCACCTTCAATTTCCTGCATTCAAGACTAGAGATATATTAGGGGGATGGTTATTTGGATTAAAAAAAAAAAACCTCAAAATCAGCACAAAAGCTAGAAAATGCTTCGTTAAAAGAAGTCATAGCTATCTAAGACAGTGGTTTTTGGAAACAAAGTAAAGGATAGGTGTGATTAGTGACCTGCTTACTAAGCTATCCTAATAAAAAAGGTGTAATTTGGTAGTTCTGAGAGGGCGAGAACTGTGAAGTAGTTTTAAATGTAAAACTTACATCAAAACAGAACGAAGCAAACAGTGGTGAAAGAGCAAGAGCTAAAGAATCTTTTCTTCAAAGTACTTTATTAACACTCAAAAGAACTTTAATACATTTATTTGTGTATGTGCACACATGTGCATATATACATGTGCATGGAGGTCAGAGGACAACTTGTCAAAAATGATTCTCTCCCTCCGCATGTGGGTCCCAGGGATTAAATTCTGGTGAGCAGGATTGGTGGCAAGCACTTTTACTCCTGAGCCCAATCCCTCCAAAAATTTATGAAAAATTACCTATCATGCAATATGAAACAAAAAAAATCTACTAAAAATCTTAAAATATCAAATTGTTAATCACATTAATACAAAACTTAAAGTTTTTGTTTAAATCAATGAAATTTTCAAGAGCACAGTTATTATTTATAAATAGTAGCTATAATAAAAATTATCCCGTATAGAACAAAAGAGTAAATATCACTGGAGTAGAATACATTTCAGGACAGACTAACGTAGCAAATTTTTCTAATACTTCAATATCTGAGTGGTAGAGTGCTTGTGTAACATGTGAGGCCCTAGGTTCAATCCTAGCACTGGAAAAGAAATTAATATTTGATTCTGATTAAAAAGTGAGTTATAATAAAATAAAATATGCAAAATTAGTGTAACTGAAGCATGAGCATGAATAGGTATATTAGTTCATCTTTATGCTAAACCATTAGCACTTTAAAACCATTAGTGTCTTCTGCACTGCTATGCAGGTGAAGTCCTTGTGACACAGGGTAGTATAGAATTGCTCCACACATTTAAAGAACCCAAGGACCTTAGAAAGAACAAGTTGCTAAATTCCAAACTTCTAAGTTTCTAGTAGTCTCAGAGCAGTTCCAGGCTGTTGAAGGGACATTTATGAGAACTGAAGGAAATTCATAAGATATTCTTAATTTAAATTAAAGCTTTTTTCATCATACCCTTTTGATGCAGGGGATGAGCGCAACCCTAGAGCTAATTAGAGACAAAACTTAGACTCCATAGGCCTTTAAAAAAAAAATAGAAGGCATGAAGGGACATGTAACGAAGGTCAGGGTAGAGATGGGGGAGATGGTCTGAATATGATCAAAACACATGACATGAAATTCTCAAAGAATTACTTAAAATATTTTTAAATGACAGAACTTAAATAGAAGGATACATGTAGTCAACATAGATATTGAAGTACACAATTCTGCATGCTCATTTATGTTTTTATTTTTTGAGGGGTCTTTTTGAGACAGGGTCTCCCTGTAGCTCCAGGTGTCCTGGAACTCACTATCTAGACCTGGCTGGCCTTGAACTCACAGAGATCCTCCTGCCTCCGAAGTGCTGGGATTAAAGGCGTGCACCACCATGAGCGCCCGCCTGGTGCTCATATTTTTTAGAAAATCTCAAACAATTAGTAAAGCTGGCAAAGTAGATGCAGGTAAAAGTTATAAGAAATCTCTGTTTATCATTTAAAACCTGAGTCTAGGATCATTATGTCATAATACATCAGAGGTTTTTTTTTTTTTTCTTTTAGTTTCCTAGCCAACTCTCCCTAATTTTGGAGGGTTTTAAAATACATATTCAATTTGCTTTGTGTAGTAGTTGTAAAACAGTTAAGCAGGAGACTGTCACTGTTTTCACAGTTATGCCTAAGATTTCATAGGAAGTTATCATGATGTATACCATTTTCTGCCATCACTGAGCAACAATTTAAAATGCAGATACCTGCCCCCATCGTGTATGTGTGCCTGTGTGTGTGTGTGTGTGCACACATACTAATAAAATGGAACAACACAGCAAAATGTTAACGACTGCTGAACCTACAGAAAGTGCATGCCAAATATTCCTTGTATTATCCATCTATCTTCATCAGGTCTGAACATTTTCAAAATAAAAAGAGCTCACTTTTATACCAATATCAATCTATTCACTTTTTAAAATAATTGTCTATATTAACTTGTTTAGCACATCACAAAAAAATGCCATACCCAAATATTGCTATACCCTATTTGTCTCACTTATATTTGTCTCATAATCTGCCACATCTAAATTTTATATAGCAAAAAGGTATTAGTAAATTACACTATAGACCAAAGCACATAAAACATTATCTTAAACTGTTAACAAACGAATCTTTCTTTTTAAAGTTTCTTCTTTATTCTGAAGAATTTCATATAAGTATATAATTAAATAAGATTGCATCTACCTCCCTGCAGTGTCCCCCACCACCCATATTGCCCCCATAACACATCACCCTCCCAACTTCATTTTTTGATAACCCACTAAGTAAGTCTCATTAGTGAGGACCATTTGCACATGGGTATACCTTTAAAATTATAATTACTCCTGGATTCTTACCTTGAAGAACCTGAAACTTATGGTCATTTGAAGAATTAAGAAACCGATCTACAATTGTAATTCTGTTCTGCAGGAGCTTCTCAATAAGATCAAGTCCTTCAGGCCCCAGCAACTCAAAGAGCTTTAAGAGAGAAAACAAAATAATGCTAACTCCAAATGAAATTCTGCACATTAACAGCTTATGTTAAAGTCAAACTAATATAAAAGCAATATACAAAATTTAAGAAATAAAAGAACTTTATCTCACAATGTTAAGGAACACTCAGCTAGCTTTATAAGGACTATCTATAATTATGTAACTAAAAATTCATTATTCAGCTATTAAAAATAACCATTTAAATATATAACTGTATCACAGAATAATAAATTGTTATATTTAGTTTATTGGTATAATCAAATGAAATTCTGAAATTTAATTAACTTTTCAGCATTTTCCTAATTTTCCCCAAGGCTCTAGAGCATATTTATCTACTAGCTTAATATATAACAGCCATCATTTTAGAGTTAAAGAATTATTAAACTACTTCAATGAATCATGATGATATATCAATTTTATATGTATTTAAAATAGATAATAAATCTGAAATCTAAAACAGTATTACAAATGTGTTAGGCAATTGTAGAAAATCTCCTTTGCGTATGTAACTTTCCTATACACTAGTTGCCAAAGATTTCAGTCACAGAACAAGTGTGAGGATTTGGAGACTTAAAAATAGCTAATTATATAGTAAAATTTTCTAGAAAGCTTTCAGATTTCCTCAAAAATGACCTGAAATTATGGAAATATAGTTTCTCCTTTTTCAAAAATGTTACTCTAATTTTGCATGTAAGGAAGGTAAATTAACCAAGCTCTGTCATTAGAGAATCCAAATGCAAAAATCCTAAGATAAATTCATGTTGAGTATACATAAGATGTTAGATATAATAAATATTTTGATGTTTATTTTATTGACATATAAATGAAAGGAAAATAAAACAAGATGAATTATAAAGAATGATCTTGTGTAATCAACTCTAAATGTATCAGGAATATACATTTATTAAATGTTGAACATTATAAGCATTCATCCTATCTAAAAAACTCTTAATCTATTTGTATGAAAGTACAAATAATACTTGACCTTATAAAAATTAAACTTAGGAAATTTACATGAATTGCCCAAAGCTACACAGGTAATAAGAAAGATGAGTTATAAAGTGATATCTATCTGAATCTGAACTGGAATATTTTACAGAAAAGTGCTGTGATGTGCAATGAACAAGAAAACGCGTCCATAAAAGATGGCACTAGCTGTATATGCAGGTGCATGCCTAAAATCACAGTACTCCAGAGGCTGAGGTCAGAGGGTCACAATTTCCAGGTCCTCATGGTTGCACAGCAAGATCCCCTTCTCAAATAAAATATTAGGGTTGTTTGCTGTTAATGATAACGTATTGACATTTGATCTTCTTCAAAGACGAATACTGCAAAAATACCTTATGGGCTCTTCAGACACCTGGAAAATGTAACTAAACCCAAATAACAAGTTTCAAGTAAGCAACTACAGTACAGGCATATGTGAAAAATTAAAGATAGGCAAATAGTTTTGACAAAATAAATAGGATCCAAGTTTAAGCCTCCTTTCTAATAAGGTAACTAATAAGATGCATCCTTTAACATGTGGAATTTATTAAATACTCAAATATTTAGGAGATTTATAAATCAACAGCAATTATCATAAGCTGTCTTAAATAACACCTATTAATTTGCCCTTGAACAAACTATTGAGAGTTTCAGCTTCCTAATGCCCTTCTACAGAAACAAGTTTCTAAACTGTCATGTCTTCCATGAATGTAGGAAAATCATTCCACCAATGATTTTCTTTCCCAATCCACTTGTTTTCATCTGAGTACTTATTGAAAAACTATCAGAGCTTTTGAGATATCCCTGTCACAACTCTGTCTCTTCTCTCAGCCTTTCTTACTTCCAGTTTTCAATGTTCCTTTTATGGATCAGTCCAAGTGATTTATTCAGTTTTCCCACAACAAAAATATCTAACCTAATTTCATGTACAGGACCATGCAGCAGAACCAGAGGCTACACACTGCAGAACTGAGGAAACAGGCCCACACACGCTAGTATGAACAGCACCTGTATTCATCAGCATCACATCACTTAACAAACTAACAAGGGTTGTTAACTTTGTTTTTCTCATAATTTCTATAAATTCCTGTGGAACATCAGGTAGTCCTATGGCTTTAGCAACTGGTGAGAACACACATCAGGAAGGACCGTGTAGGAAAGCAAGACCACTGCCATCATGAGCTAGGAAAGGGGGAAGGGAGGGATAAACAATGAAGGAGAAAGAGAGAGAAAGAGAGAGAGACTTCCCACAATTTCCTTCAAGGGCACACTGAAGATACATACAGATCTCCTACTAGTTTTCATATCCTAAGAGTCCATACCACCTTCCAGCAGCACCCTGGTGACCCAACCTTTAATATTTGAACCTCTGGGAGATGTCACCCATATTCAAACCATAGGACTCTGCTCCTGACCAGTAATAGCATGTATGGGCTAAAACACTCAGCAACCTTTCCCAGAAAGAATTGTTTATAAAGTGCTTGCAATAGCACCTATCATGTAAATGATAAGCATTTGTTAGCAATTATATACTAACAAATTAGATACACTTGATGAAATGACAAATTCCTAGGCGATACAGTGTACAAAAACTAACCCAACAACATAAGAGCATTGGTAGAGACCTAGAGCAAGGGAAATGATGACAAGTTTTCTAAACTATGGACACAAAAAGTCTAGTCCAGAATTTATTGGTAGCCAGTCAGCTTACAGAGAAATTAAATCCTACTGTTAAATTTTACTAAATATTTACAAAGGTTAATACCAATTACTGACAAAATGCTAAAAAACTAGAAAATAAAGGAACATTTCTAAACTCACTGTATAAATTCAACGCTAGTAACACCAAAGCAAAAAATGTAAACAAAAAAAGCTACAAATCAATATGAGTTAGGAATATGGGCAGAAAAACCATTAATGAAGTACTAGCAGACTAAACCCAGCAACATATTTAAATGGATTCAATCAGATTATATAGCTAATTAGCTATGTAATATATAGATAGATAGATAGATGATAGATAGATAGATAGATGATCGATAGATAGACAGACAGATGATACAGACCACCATGACAAAAAGAAATTAATGCCAGTAACACAAGGCTGACTCAAAAACTACAAAGTGATATATGATACCTTATCAATGGGAATAAAAACAAATTATACAATTAACAGATTAAAAGAAAAGACAATTTTATCTCTCATGATAAAAACATTCAACAAGCTACTTGAAGGATTCCTCATTCAAGACACCTATAAAAACACACAACTAATGATGGAAAAAGACTGAATGCCACTAAGATCATAAGTAAGACAAGAAAGTCTCAACTCACCACTTCTATTCAACACTGTAGCCCGGACATTTAGGCAAGAAAAAGATATATAAGGCATCTAGATAGAAAGAGAAGAAACAAAACTATTTTATTCACAGATGATATAATCTTCAATAAAGAAAATACTACTAGAACTAATATGTTCATCAAGGCTGCAAAATATAAGATCAATATCCAAAAGTCAATTATATCTCTGCAATGACCAATCTGAAAGTGAAATTAAGAAAGCAATATAACACCATCAAAAAATTACTTAGGAATAAATATAACAAAGGAAGGATAATATTTATCCACCAAAAACTATAAAACATTACCAAAAAAAAAATTTTAAAGACCTAAATAAACTGAGAAAGAGTCCACATCCATAAACTGGAATCCAAAATATAAAGATTATACACAACTCACATTAGTTTACAGATTCAGTACAATTCCTCTTAGAATTTCTGGTGATTTCAGAAAGTAGCAAGCTAACTCTAAAATTTATATGAAATTGGAAGAAAGTCAGAATACTCAAAACAATTTTGGAGGTGAAAGAGGAGACAATTTAGGACTCATACTTTCCAAAGACTTTCTAGACTCACAATAAAATTTGGACTCCAGGAAAATAAGACAAACTGATGCTTCAAAGAATGTGGAAATGACTTTTCCTTAAACCAAATTTGATTTTTTGCAACCAATTAACATTAGCTCAGATTGTTTAGAATATAAAGCATCTTACTATGACTTGGGCTCCACTTACAACCTAAACATACACGTTTAATCCCTCATGACCCTTCCTTACCCTTCACCAAGGATAACCTAGGTGTATATATTGAGAATATCAAGCACTGAAAGAGCAAATACTTAATGAAAGCAATGGATTATCCCATTTGTGTTGCAAACAACAGGACAGACTAGATGAATAACATGTTTTTGGTTGTGGGTGACAATCTACGTCAGTAATGGTCAGAAAGGGCAAATTCCATGATAAGGCAAATTCTGCTTTTCCTTTCCCATTATATACA